AACGTGGATGTGTAACCGATGTGATTCTGCAATCTGTATACAGGGTAAAAATGGGAGTTCATAACCCACTTGAATCAAATGTATGAAATATGATATGTCAAGAGCTTTGTAATGTTTTGAACAACTAATAATAAAAAAAATAACAAAGGCATTCTTCACAGAAAAAAAAATCCTAAAATTCATATAGAACCAAAAAAAGACCCTGAATGGCCAAAGCAACTTCAATAAAGTTGGAGGTGTCATGATACCTGACTTCATAACACACTACAAAGCTATAGTAACCATAACAGATGGTACTGGCATAAAAACACACATACAGACCAATCGAACAAAACAGAGAACTCTGAAATAAACCCATCCATCTACAACTTATTTTCAACAAAGATGCAAAAAGTACACATTAGGAAAAGGACATCTTCTTCAAAATACAGGTGCTGGGAAAACTGGACATTCATATGCAGAATAAAACCAGAACCCTCTCACCATATTTACAAAAAAAAAAAAAAAAAATTCAATTCCCAGTACTTCCCCTGAGCAAAAAAAAAAAAAAAATCAACTCAAAATGGAAAGACCTAAATGTAATAACTAAAACCCCTAGGATCACCAAAAAAAATTTTTAAGAAAACACTTAAATATTGACAGTAAGATATTTCACATTATGAATATATTTAACATCACTTAACTGTATACTCACAAATGGTTAAGATGAAAATTTTATGGTAAATGTTACAGATATTTTGCCACAATTAGAAAAAAAAAAAAATGGAAAACCAGCGTAAGACCAGCAAATGAAGAAAAAGCTCTGAAAAGAAACTGGGACTTGAACTTGGGTATAGTATTTTGAATTTGAGCTTCACCTTCATTGGTGGATACTTATGATAAGGAGCTGCCCCTGTAGCCAGTTCAATTGCTGTGATTCCAAAACTCCAGATATCAGCTTTGAAATCATAACCTCGGACCTGCAAAGAAGAGAAAGATGTGCATGATTATTTTAACCAATTTAAAAGCACTTTTTAAAAATTTTTTTCTTGGGGCTGGGATTGTGGCTCAGCGGTAGAGCGCTCGCCTAGCATGCGTGGGGCCCTGGGTTCAATCCTAAGTACCACATAAAAATAAATAAAAGAAATAAAGGTATTGTGTCCAACTACAACTAAAAAAATAAATATTTAAATTTATTTTTTCTTCTTTGCTAAAAGCTCTTTTAAAAAGGTAGTTTCTATTGGGGCTGGGGTTGTGGCTCATCAGTAGAGCGCTCTCCTAGCACACACGAAGCCCTGGGTTCATCCTCAGTGCCACATAAAAATAAATAAAGATATTGTGTATATCAACTATAACTAAAAAATAAGTAATTTTTTTAAAAAAAGGTAGTTTCTACTATATTATCATCAAGAACAATGAAAAGCATTCATAAGCATTATAGAATAAAATAATCTAAAGTAAACAAAAACTAAATATACTTGGTAATGGGGAAAGAGGCAACCTGAATGTTCACAAAAAGAGAAATTGTTAACTATGATACAGTAAATTACAAGAATATTACATAATCAATTAAAAGCAATGCTTATTAATTCTACATGAAAACAGAAAAACCATTTGTGATAAAACATTTATGAAGAGAAAAAATAATATGAATTGTCAAAAGTTTGACACAGTAACAAGAGATACATCATCTCTCTCTTTTGGGGGGGGGGTGAGAGGTACTGGGGATTGAACTCAAGGGCATTCAGCTACTGAGCCCCATCCCCAGCCCTTTTTTGTATTTATTTTTGCATTTATAATATTTAGAGACAGGGTTTCGCTGAGTTGCTTAGTGCCTTGCTAAGGTGCTGAGGCTGGTATTAAAAGTTGGAATGCTACCAATTTCAAATGCCACCAAAGAGAAAAATAAATAAGGAATAAGAAATAAGCACTAGATTTGAGAATCAGCGGAGTTAAGTGATGGGATAAGTGACAACAGGTTGTAGATATGTGAAATGCAAATAAGAAATGGGATGTGGAGATCACTTAGACCTTCAAGAAACACCAACAAAACCACATGTAAGGGCTGGGGCTGGGGCTCAGCGGTAGCGCACTTGCCTCGCATGTGTGAGGCACTGGGTTCGATTTTCAGCACCACATATGAATAAATAAAATAAAGGTCTATCAACAACTAAAAATAAATTTTTTAAAAAAACATGTAAAACTACTAGGTCATTTATTTTGTATTAAGAAAAATTTTTTAAATTGTTATTATATTATGTTCTGAGTTATGCTTTGGCTTTTTTGTTTAGATTCTTTTGGGGGATTTTACAGCTATGGTGCACACCTATCATATCATGTACTCAGGAGGCTGAGGCAAGAGAATCATAAGTTCAAGGCCAATCTGGAAAACTCAGTGAGACCCTGTCTCAAAATAAAAATAAAAAGGGATGGGATGTAACTCAGTGGTACAGTGTTTGCCTAGCACACATGAGGCCCTGGGTTCAATCCCCTGCACCATACACACACAAAAAAGAGTAGACTAAGTTTTAACCAAGGAGGAGAAATATACATTTCTTAAAGCTAACCTGGTATATGTACTAAACAAAAGCAAACATTTAATTTACTCAGTTTCATCACAAAAACCTAAGCCATTTTTTTAAAAGACAAAAATCATAGTACCTGTTCCATAACTTCAGGTGCCATCCAGCAAGGGGTGCCAACAAAGGTCTTCCTTACTTTATTTCGGGTAATATCACCACCTGTTGCTAGAAAAGCACTAACCCCAAAGTCTGAAATTGAATACAACAGCACAGAATTATAAAGTCAGTAATAATCATAAACCAATAGGAAACTAATATGTTGTTAGTCACCATCCTATACATAAGACATATATAGAGAGACCAATTTGCTGAACTTTGTAGCTAAATTAAGGTATAGCTTAACAGGTCCTTCATTCCATTCCTCTCCACTCTCACAAAGTATCATCTTAATCTGCTCCTTGTTCAAATCTATTCTACATACTAGGATGGGATCCATCTTTCCTTCTTTCCTTCCCCTCTTTTCGTTTCCTTTTCTACCATCTGGCTCTTTCAGCTCAAAAACTCCTACAGGTTCAAAAAGCTCACAAGAAGATGGTTCCAAATAAATTAGAGTTAGTAATTCTAATTTAATATCCCATCTTGACTTCTTAATAGATGTATATCATTGGTAAACTGAAGTTTATCCAAGCCTCAGGATTTTCTCCACAAAGATTTTATTCCAAAATATTGAAACCAAAGTCACTGATGAGGAGGACTGCCTGTCTCACTAATATTCCTCCTTTTATAATAGTTCTGGTCATGTAACTGTGTTCTGTGATGTTGACACCAGGGCATAGCTGATTTGAGCCAGGTTTAGACACCTTAATCCAAGTTTGATCAATCATAGCTCTTGCCTGAAGCTTGAATGGAAAAACAAGAAAAATGGGGGTCACTGGAGTCAAGTCATGTTAACAGAAGAATCTTGTTCACTAGCACAACTGGGTTCTTGTTCATCCTGAGGCTTAGTTGTTGGTGGATTCTTTCTGTGTACTCACTACCAGCATATTCAAAAAATTCCTGCTTTGTTAAGTTAGCCAATGATAATTTCTGATGCAACCAAAGAACAATATCTAATATAGTGAAGAGTTTTATATACTTTAGTAAACACCTTATCCAATTCCCTTCTTGCTATTTCAAAACACCCTGTGGTATGTAAAATGGGTCTATACTTGAAAATAGAATAAATTATAGACAAACCTAGTGTGAGAAAGATTAATTCTAGCACTGTAAAATTCCAGATTTAGAAAACAGTTAATTCATTCATACTGAAGTGATTATTGGCTTGTCTCTATGTAAAACAGCACATCTATACAAAACAAGTTTTTAAAAAATTTATCTTAATTCTTAATGCTCCTAAACTGGTGAATATCTAGGTATTGAGTAAGTTTTTAAAAAATCAGAAGTCTCATAATTGAACCTGAAGATATAGTTAGTGTACATAACCTGATTAGTTAAGTCTTTTATATTGAAGAATTTTAAGGCATAGGTTTGTTCTATTAGTAAAAATACCCATACTTAATCAGGTGCTTAGTATTTTACAGGGAATTTTTAATTTACTCCTTAACAACAACCATTTTAAGTTGGTACTATTATTTACCACTTTTTACAGATGAAGAAACTGTATCCAGAATTCTAAATCCAGAATTTAATGATTCAAAATCTTCAGATTTTCCTTTTATACACTTCTCTTATCCCTAAGACTTACCAACCCTGAAGACTTGAGTTAAAGCAGTCAGCTAAGGCATATAAATGAGAGCATCCACTGTACTAAAATGTCCACTGTTACTCCAACTATAAAGAAGAGAAATCAAGCAGCAAATACCCTACTTGCCTCAATTTAAATTGCCAACTAAAGACAAAAAGTAACTAAAATTTGAAATAAACCATTTTAACTCCTCTGTTAACAATTTCAATAAAGTACAAAATGGAATTTGGTGCCTACTAAATGACAGGATCAAAAGTAAAGGTCAAGGGAGACATGTTCCCTACCTTTATGCAACTTCTCCTTATAGAAGGTAGAATCAGGTAATTAGAATACACTATGCTAAATTCTATATAGTGTAAAAAAAAATCTGTAAGCCCAAAAACTATTTTAAAAACACAGGGGAAATACTTTATAATATTGGATTTGACAACAACTTGTTGAATATGACACCAAATCCTGGGAAACAGAAAAACCAGATAAATTGGACTTCACCAAAATTTATTTCATCAAATTTTCTTAAAATATCGCTCAACAGAGTGCAAAACATAACCCAAGAATTGGGAGAAAATATTTGTAAGCCAAAAATTTCATAAGGGATTGATATCCAGAATAAAGAACTCCACACTTCAACAATTTTTAAAAATCCAATTTTAAAATGGCAAAGGACTTGAGTAGACATTTCACCAAAGAAGGCAAATGGTCAATAAATACATGAAAAGATGTTCAATATTTCTAATTGCTAGGCAAATACGAATCAAAACCACAATGAGATAGATACCAACTCACACCAATTAGAAAAGCTACTATTAATTTAAAAAAAAAAAAAAAAGTAGGGCACATGGCATATGCTTGTAATCCCAGCAACCAGGAGGCTGAGGCAGGAGATTATCAAGTTTGAGGCCAGCTTAGAGAACTTAGGGAAACCCATTCACAAAGTAAAAATATAGGGAATGGGGATATAGCTCAGGGGTAGAACATTTGCTTAGCATGTTCAAGCCCCTGGGTTTGATCCCCAGCACCACACACACAAAAAAAGTAAATAGGAAAGACAAGACTGGGGATATAGCTCAGTGGTAGAGTAACCCTAGATTCAACTCCCACTACAAAAAAAAAAAAAAAAAAGGAAAACAGCAGCTGCCATGTTTTTGAGGCAGTTCCTCCAAAAAAAAACAAAACAAAAAAAAACACCACACACACACACACACACACACACACACACACACAGAATTATCCAATAATTCTACTTATGAGCATATACTCAAAAGAAATGAAAAACAGGGACTCAGATGTTCATATACGTGTGTTCATAGCAGCATTATTCACAATAGATAAAAGGTAGATGAAACAAGCTTTTATCATCCTTGATGGATAAATGGATGAATATAGTATATGCATTCAATCTTTAAAAGTAATGAAAATCCACAATGTACTATAATATGGATTAACCTCAAAGATATTATGCTAAATAAAATGACCCAATCACAAAAGAAGAAATGTTGTATGACTAGTTATGATGTACTTAGAGTAGTTAAATTCACAGAGACAGAAAGTAAAATCATAGTTGTTCAGAATCAAGGTGACAATGTAATGGGAAATTACTTTTTAATAAGTACAAAGTTTTAGTGGAAGAGGATGAAAAAGTTCCAGAAATGGATGGTTGTGACAGCTACACAACATGAACATACTTAATGCCACAGAACCATATACTTAAGAATAGTTAAAATGGCAAAATTTATGTTATATTTTATCACAATTAAAAAAAATATACAAATAGGGCTGGAGGTGTAGCTCAATGGTAGAGGACCCACCTGCCTAGCATTTGTTAGGCTGTGGGCTCAATACTTTGCACCATACATACAAAAACAAATAAATACATAAAAATGAAAAATATGTAAAGTTATCTAAGGAGGCAGTATCTACCTGGAGATAGACTGGACACAGATGAAAGAGAGGCAGCAAAGTTGTTCCTGAATTCCTGTTTGGTGCCATTCACACTAGGCTAGGTTATCACATCTAGTCTATCATCCTACATTGTAATTTTATTTTTAATGTTTTTGTATGTCGCTGTAGATCTGTTCATTTCCCTCACTATATATAGTATTCTGATATATAAATTAGTCACAATTTATTTATATGCTCTACTAATGAAGTGATGAATTTTTTCAAACTCATAATGATTAAGATTACTGTGGTAAACATAGAGGTGAGTTTTTCTGGGCTATATATGCAGTAATCGTAGTCTTACAATATACATCTCTTCAATTTTAATAAATGGTTCTAACTCATTTATACTCCATCATTAGTGAATATATCACCAATAACTGGTACTGCCAGGTATTTCTACAAAGTCAGTCAATTGAGAATATTATTCCAATGTGACTGTACTTTTCATTTAATAGATTTTTATATTTAAGTTTGGATTCCTTCATTTGGGAAGTGCCTATGCCAATCTTTTTGCCCACTTCATTATTTTTTTTTACCTTAGTGAGTTATTTATATGTTCTAAATTTGATCCCTGTTAATTATTCATGTTGTAAACATCTACTCTATGGCTTGCCTTTTTACCATAGTCATAAAACTGCTTGTTCCTCTTCTGATAAACAGAATTGCTATTTTTAAAGGACTCAAATTTATGTTAGAGCATTATGTGGCTTGGTTAAAACATTTCCTTACCTCAAGGACATGAAGATGTTTGCCTAAATTATCTTCTAAAGGTGAAAGAAATAATTTAAGGTCTGGGTAACCACCTTTTTCCTGCCAAACATTTGGCTGTTTTAGCAGCTTGGGACCAAGCTGAAGGAGGCGGTGTTTCATCAGGATAGCCACCTTTGGCAGGCCTTGGCCTCCAGCTCTTATTATCCCACAGTTATGAAGCTGCCAAAAGTGCACTTCCACTTCTCAGATTCCTCTTGATAATTAACAAATACTTTCTCCTAGGACAAAAGCAGCTCTATATTATCTCTCTACAGCATATTTACTCTTAAACATAGTGAGGATTCTCGACTATTTCTCCTTTAAAGCAAAGTACAGAATGCTAAACATAGAATGCGATGAGAATCCAAAGCAGAAGACCGTGATCAGGATGAGGAGTGGACAACTGGAAAGTAATGAGTAATGGTCAGAAAAATGTCCAAGATCAGAAATGAGGGATGAGTAGTAGAAGATATCTTGAGAGTCAGCAGGGATGTACCAACACAGGATGCTTGAATAGAGATGGCCCAGAGAACAGGAGAAAATACTGACTAACATAAAAGATATGTAATGTGGTTCTACTGACCATTAAATCAGAATAAAAAGGAACACTAATCCTTACCTGCAATCTGTACTGAGCCATCTTCTCCAAGAAGAATATTTCCAGCTTTCACATCTCTTTAAGGAAAAAAAGTCACATCTCAAAAAACATATATTCTTTGGAGTAATATACTTTAAGCAATTGTTTACTGTATTTACACAACACAAGCAATATTTAAATGTTTTATTTTGTATTAAAGGGTATTAAGGCCAACAATAAGCTTTTTAAAATTTTAGTCACTTTACCAGAATCTAAACATTGACCAGAAAACCACAATAAGGTATAGGTTCTTCTTATAATATCTAGAAATAACTTAAGGTGACTAAATATTCTTGACTGAGATCACAGTGGCCAAAGAACATGACCTGCATCTCCCCTCACCTAATACTAATTTTTCTACTAAACACTTTTTACAAATACTAGATCATTCTCTCTCTGGAACCTCAAATACCCACCCACCAACTCCTAACTGATCAATTTTGTTAAAATAATCAATATGCACTTGAAAGTAGAGACTATTCTGAGCTTATAGCATAAAGACAGATATAAATTATTCCAACCCAACTATACTTTTATTGATATTTATAACAACTCAAGTAATACAGGAATATATTCTTGTTACAAAAAAAAATTTTTTAAACATTACTAAGAAGATCAAAGTCCTTTGACCATCATTCTCAAGTCTAGTATTCTCTCCAAAGTTGTCAAATGTTATTAGTCCAATTAACAAATATATTACCTATGGCTTACCTGGACATTTCCCCCAGTATAAATGATATTATACTATTCATTTAAGTCTACAACATGTTTTCTTTGGTATACTAAAAACCTCTAAGTCCTAAGAACAGCAAATCCATTTCTTGATAACCCAGAAAAAGCCTCACAGTGGAGGCTGGAGTTGTGGCTCAGCGGTAGAGTGCTCACCTAGCATGTGACACACTGGGTTCAATCCTCAGCAACACATAAAAATAAATAAAATAAAGGTATTATGTCCATCTACAACTAAAAAAAAACTTTATATATATATATATGTATATATATATATGTGTGTGTGTGTGTATGTTTGTGTGTGTGTGTGTGTGTATACACACACACATATACAGAGATTCCACTGCAGCATTGTTTGTAATAACTAGCACAATAACAACAAATAAGGCAATGACCTAGACAGCCAGCTATAGTGGAAAGGTTAAATTAATTCTGCTACATCCATGAAACAGAATGTCCATCAACAGACTGTGAAATGAAATGCCTTCTAACACACATTTTAAATGAACAAGTCAAATAAGAGTGCATTTTATATGATTGTTTTACTTACATTTACACACAAACACAACACACACACATATACACACACCACACACACACACACACACACACACACACACATATCCTTTAATGGTTTCCATGGTGATGAGTGGGGCTAAAGTCAAGGGGAACAGTGTTCAAATATCTTCTAAGAATGTACTCATGTAGTCATTTTGCAATTAAAACAAATATAATTAAATAAACAAAAGAAAGGCAGTACCTTAGGGGCCGGGATTGTGGCTCAGTGGTAGAGCACTTGCCTAGTGATGTGTGAGGCCCAGGGTTCGAGTCTCAGTACCGCATATAAATAAAAGTCCATTTACAACAAAAATAAATATATATATTTAAAAAAAAAAGAAAAAGAAAGGCAGTACTTAAGGCTAGATAAGGAAAAAAAGTAAGGCCAGCTCATGGAGGAAAGCTTTGTCTATCAGGAAAACGAGTCAGAGAAACACACGTCATTCCTTCCTGTCCATGTCCCTTTTTCCTCCATCTTTAAACATAACCATTTGCTGGCAAACAGTTTCACAACTGTTTGCAGCAGCATCATACCACAGCATATAATGCATTTCCTTGATATATACGGAAGCATAAGGAAATTGTGTTCTTGAGTGTCGTATATTGCTCAGAAACCCAAGCAAGTTACGAGTGTTTTCCCAGAGGCTGATTCAATAGAGTGGAAGAGGCTGACTTGCTTTTGCTCCATGAACCTAGAGTCTCTTGACTTTAGATACTACAAATAGAAAAGAATTCAGGACATTCCCTTCCCTTAGTGACAAAAGCCATTCAACTGAGTCAATCACTAACTTCCAACTCCCTTTTCTGAGCTCATCAAAAACTGTGGGGGGTAGGGGGAGAGTAGAGATTAGCCACTCTCTCATGTGTTTTTATAGCAGGTTGTATTACAATGTTACCAAAGTGTATTACTACTGTATGATTGTATTTCCAGGTCAGCCTCCCCATTTTATCCTGAATTACATCTGGACCTATATCTTATTTAGCATGTCCCAGATACCCATCAACTAAACTATGCAGGACACTACCTGACTCTAAATCCTCTTCTGTAAAGAAGTGGATTATCAACAAGTAAATAAAAATTTCAACTAAACAACAACAACAACATAAAAAAAAAAAGCAACCTAGATTGTACCCTCCCTGATACTCCAACCCCTATCCTTGACCTCCTACTTCATTCCAGATGTTAGAGTTATAAACTAATACACTTCAGTCAAAGAATGTGAGAAGTCTAACCACTGCATCAGTAAGAAACCAATTAAGCTGTGGCACATCTCATTCATACCATGAAATACTATGTATAATGAATGAATACCTGTGTTTTATCCTTTCCTTGTTTTTGATGTTCTTGGCAGTTCTGAGAAGCATTAGTCAAGTGTTTTGTCAAACATTCTTCTAAAGAATTTATATGACATTTTTCTCATTGTTAGACTGGTGTTGGGTTTGAAAGGAAACTCATGAGTGTCATTTTTATCACATTACCTCAAGGTATATGGTATCAACATAAGTCAGCACAGATGAAGCTTTTTACCATATACCATCTTGTGTTGTTGGAATGCTTTAAGCCATGTATAGGGATTACCTATACCAATGTTTTTTAAGTTTCTGTCTTTCATAAATGAAAACATATCAATCCAATTTTCAGTAGAGCCTGTACTTTTTGCTTATTTTTCCTGATAATCAATTATGTTTCTCTTTTGAACCCAAAGTGCAATCTGCAGAACAATCTCCAGGAGTAAAAGCAGAGGAAAATCATGACCCAGTGAATAATCAAATACACCACAGTCTGTCCTCACACACAACAGGACAATGGTCCTTTCAAGGAAAAAGATCTGTAACTATGTATCTGAAAACCAATCTAAGGCCTCAGGTTAAAGAACATTTTTTACTTTGTCATAAACAATTATTAAGCAACTCAGCAGCCCCATCAGTTGAGTCATCCACCTACTGTTATTTAGCAAGAATAGTTGAGTTTTGTTTTTCACTGCTTACTGTCATTTCTCACATGTCACCACTGCCCAAAAGTTACACATTCCTCCTAAAATTAAAAAAGAATATCAAAGAATGCTTGGCCTTCTCATAAGTACAAAATACAGATTGAATCTCTGATTTAAAGTGTGAGAAGCTGGGCGTGGAGGTGCACAGCTGTAATCCCAGCTAACATTTTTATTACTCATCAATAGGCACAGTTTATGGAAAAATTGAAAAGAGGTCAAGAGAAGCAATGAATCAAAACCAGAGCTGGAAATATATCACATTTATGCATCTTAAAATATCTAACATTTCTGTTAGAGCTAATCTTCTTAATGGGAAAAATATTTGGGTAGGTAAACACAGAAAGAAAAGTCTAATTTAGAGATATGTTTATCCTAATAAAAATCTCTAAAGCTAAAGGATCAGGGGAAAACACAATAGAAATGGAAGAAAATTATGTGACCTGATTCAGCAGGCTAACACACAAATCCACCTTTAGTAACAACTGGACTTTAAACATATGAGAAGTAGCAAAACCTACTAAAAATATCCATTTCTGTGTAAGTCTCTGTATATTTCAGACTGCTCACTGCTAAAGTCTAAGTAGTAGTTCTCTACCGTGGCTGCATGTTAGAATTACCATGGGAGTTTTTAAAAGCTTCAGTGCCATGGCATTATTCCAGGCCAATTAAATGAATTTCTGGCAGTGGACCAAGCAGCGATACTTTTTAAAGCTTTCCAAATGATTTCACTGAATATGAAAGATTGAATCTCTGATTTAAAGTGTGAGAAGCTGGGCGTGGTGGTGCACAGCTGTAATCCCAGCAACTCAGGAGGCTGTGGCAGGAGGATTACAAGTTCAAGGCCAGCCTGGACACATTAGCAAATGCTGTTTTGAAGAAACTGTCTCAAAAAAAAATGAATAGGGTTGGTGATAGAGCTCATGGTAGAGCTCTCCTAGGTTCAATAGCCATGGTGGGTGGGTGGGTAGAGGTGCAGGGGTGGGGTATGAGACAGAAAATTCCCATCCCAAACAATATAGCACAACTGCATGGAAAGCAGAGACTACCATTACTAAGTCTGAGGCTCCTGCCCCAAAACATACCCTTCACTGCTAAAAACAAAGAAATCCTGAATAAATTAGGAAACAAAAATTACCAAGTAGATGAACATGAAACAAAGAGGAAGTCCTCATGGTGAGAAGAAATGAAAGAGACATTTAAGAGGCAGAACAGTAAATCTTGAGAAATAGAACCAAGACAATGCCCAAATGGGTAGGGGGCTCATTTTTAAATTTACACCTAAACATAGTACTGGGCTAATTTAAGGCTAGGTACTCTTTTAAGTGTGACCTTTAATAAAGCCAGAACACAGGGAAGATCGATCACCATGAAATATACTTAACAAAAGCAAGCTAGTTTAGCTATGTTAAAATAAAACATGATTGTCTTTAACATAAGCACATTTTTAGGAGTAAAAGGGATCATTACGTAATAACAAAAGAAAAAATTCATCAGGAAAATAACAATCCTGAATATGTATGTTCCAGTTACATACCTCCAATCACAAAGAATTGTAATTCAAAGGGATCATTAGAACTACAGGGCCCCCACTAGAAACTATCACAGCTTGCTAGATAGCTTCCAACATACAGCCTGTTACTTTTGTGTTTTTAACATTTTTAGTTGTGGTTGGACACAATACCTTTATTGTGTTTGTGTAGTTTTTTTATGTAGTGCTGGGGATCAAACGCAGTGCCTTATGTGTGGTAGGCAAGTGC